CATGCATGTGGCCCTGGGTTCAATTCCTCAGTACCTCATAAGCAAAAAGAAAAAAGCCGGAAGTGGCGCTGTGGCTCAAGGGGTAGAGAGCTAGCCTTGAGCTGAAGAGCTGAGCTGAGGGACAGTGCCCAGACCCAGAGTTCAGGCCCCACGACCAGAACCCCCCCAAAAAAAATACATGTGATATTGTCACAAATACACAATGCATATGAACCAGAAAAAAAAAAAACAGGAAAACTTGACAGTGAGAAATGATACACCAGAGCCCAGTGTCAGGAATCTGCCTGAACCCTGGCCGTCTTGGTTGGTGGTCAGATGAAGTAAAGTGCAGCAAAGCCACACCTGATCTCGGGTCAGGAGGGAGGCTCTGCAGAGCTCACAGGTGAGCACCATTCTCTTGGAACACACCAGGAACTCTGGCATCAGGAAGGTGCAGCTGCTGCTCTTTCCTGGCAGCCTCTGGGCTTTCCTCTTCCCCTCAGGGTCTCAGGTGGTTTCCTGTTTCTTCTCTAAGTTCATGTCTCAGCTTCCTTGCCAAATGTTCATGAAGAGATCCTCAGCTCTGCTGTAAAAATAAAAGTGGAGCCTCTGATCCTAGCTATTCCGGGGTCTGACATCTGATGCTCAATTGGGAAGCCAGCCTGTGCAGGCAAGTCTGTGCTGTTCAAATCTAATGATCCAAGACAGCAGTAGTGAAGCTGTGGCTCAAGTGGTACAGTGTTGCCTTCAGCAACAGTTCATGGTCTGGGTCCCGGCCCTGGGTTCCAATCCCCAGGACAGAACAAAAAATGCAGCCTGCAGGCTTGTATCTGTCATGATAGAAGTTAGTTCTTGCTGACCCTGAACACAGAATTGTTCACTAATGGAAGTGTGTCAGCACACTCACTACTAGAATTCACTGAACATCCAGAGCTCAAGGACAAGTCAGGCAAACATGACCAAACCAGGAAAACAAAAGTTTCAGGTGGATTGTGCATGTAGCTGTCCAACACTGATGATGGAAATGTACACATAAGACCAAGAAGAGAGAACATGATGCAAACGTCATCAAATTCACAACCCAGTAGTGTAAAGCACTGCAGATCACTGAGTCACAGATGCGTGTGAAGACCACACACTGGCCCTCCCCAGACCAGCACTGAGGGCCTTTATCCAGGTGCCTCTATTTCCAGACCTCCAGAGATTCAGCCTCACTGTTCTCTGCCAAGCCAGTGTCTCACAGGCCCCAGAGGCTCTTGCAAATGCCCTGAACAGTACCGGACAGGACACAGACAGGAAGGGGACTGCTGTGCCTACAGTGCTCAGGACAGGTACCCGTGGTCCAGGCCGGTAAGCAGAGCTGTTCTGGAGACACAGTGCTGGGTACTTGAAGGTGGAGATGTACCCTAGCAAGACCTTTCAGGAAACACTTTTCAACCAATAGCTGAGTGTGGTGTGTGTGTGTCAGCTTGACTCCTGCAGACTAAGAGGAGTTCACCAGGCCAGCACAGCCAGGCCAAGCTGTTCATGAGACTCCATCTCAGAGAAAGACACTCAGTGTGCTGACATGTGCTTATAATCCCAGCCATGATGGAAACTTCACTTAGGAAGATGGAACTCCAGGTGAGAATATGACCAAAATCACCAGACGCTCCTCAAAATGGCACTGATACCATCAAAGACTGGAACTCTGCCCAGTGCTAGAACACCTGCATAGCAGGCCTGGGGCCTCGAGTTGAAGAACATATCTGTAGCTGTGCTGCCCAAATGAAACATTGCCAGCCCTGTTATATACTCACATGCACACAGTGTGAGTGGATTTACATTGTGTGTCACAAATAAAATGTGGGCTACATTGTGCAAAGAATCTCCAGGTTAAGAGGCCTGGCTCTGTTGGCAGACCTTGAAACAATGAGTAAAAGCATCAGGCACCAAGTTTGAGTTTTGATCTTTGACTTAAAAAATGATAGACTAGAAAAGTACCTTTCCAATTGAAGTAGTCCGTATCTGGTCCTGAAAGCCCAAAGGTAAGAGTGTACATGTGTGTGTGTGTGTTGGTCTAAATTATGTGTGTATATAATTCATATATATTCACACAGCCAGCCTATAGTTTGTATATATGATGGGTGTGTAGATGTGTATGCACATACAAATACACCATATGTATTTATCTGTTTGTATATACACATAAGGCATTTACATAGGTATGTCACATGTGTGAATATGTGGATGTAATT